GAGCACAGAGAGATTAGGCTTAGTGAGCAGTAGTAATATCTTTTCTGTGATTAGAGAGAAGGAGAGAAATTAGGGTAATGTAATCATCAGAAGCAGAGCTAGTTCAGAGTGAGTCACCTCTATATTCTTAGTGAAGCAGGAGGCTGGGTCAGTAGCTATAAGTTAGGGTTCAGAGGCATAGTTACTGGTGAGTGGAACAAGATTTACTATGGATAATGACTTATAGAAACGGAAGAATTTTGAGTGAGAGCCCAGTTGAGGTTAAGTACCATGAATTTGTACTGTGTGAAATCAGGTTGATTTGTATGAGTTGATCCAGTAATATGTCCAAGAGTGAAACTTCTTAACCTGGGCCTATGAATTTCTTTTTTAAATTTGATAATTGTATTTCAACATAATTGGTTTGCTGTGTGATCCTATGTATTTTATTTTATGCATTCAAAAGCATTATTCTTGGGTGTCCATAGACTTCATCAGTCTACTAGAGAGGTCTGTGTCACAAAAAAATTAAGAATCCCTGCAATAAGGATAGGAACAGAGAAACTAGACTATAAGGACTATCTATCACAGGGTGAGATTCATAGGCTGGGAATGGAAAAAAATCAAAGGGACAAGGAATTTAGGGTAGTAGTAACATGACAAGCCCTCAGGTTAAGGCTAGGACAAAGAAGGAAAGATGAACATGGATTAGAGTTTGATGATTAAAGATACTGAAGGTCATTATTAGTAAGAATGAGAGAGTGAAAGATGTAAAAGGATAGTAGATTATGGTTAAAGTGGGAGTTCAAAATTTTGGATTTTAGAGGTCATTCAATTCTGAGGGATTTCAAGTCCTAAGAGATTATTGGAATTGAGAAAATTTGGAAATTGTGTGGGAAGGTTTTTGGAGATGTTGTCAATACTTTAACTTGAATAGTGAAGTCCTTGGTATTCATCAAGAATACAATGAATAGTTGTTAGAATTAAAATCATGAACTAGTTACTAAAATCCCTGAAAAAAGTGTGTGAGTAGGCGAGAGCAAGAAAGATGGGAGTGGGTGGTGTAAATGGATTACATAGACTTCAAAATAATAAACATCAGGAGATTATGCAGTAATAATCTGGAAGTCATAACCAGGAGCAAGAAGTATGCTCACTCTTCCCCAATTGATAAATGGTCAAAGGATATGAACAGGCAGTTTTTCAGATGAAGAACTTAAAGCTATCTATAAACAGATGAAAATACTCTAAATAACTATTGATTAGAGAAATGAAAATTAAAACAACTCTGAGGTACCACCTCACACCTATCACATTGGCAAATATGACAGAAAAGGAAAATGATAAATGCTGTGGGAAAATTGGAACACTAATGCATTGTTGGTGGAGTTGTGAAATGATCCAACCATTCTGGAGAGCAATTTGGTACTATGCCCAAAGGGCTATCAAACTGTGCATACCCTTTGATCCAGCAATACCACTACTAGGTCTGCATTCCAAAGTGATCATAAAAAAGGGAAAAGGACCTACATATACAAAAATATTTATAGTAGCTTTTGTGGTGGCAAAGAATTGGAAATTGAAGGAAAGTCTATCAAGTGGGGAATGACTGAACAAGTCGTGATATGTGAATGTAATGAAATACTATTGTTCTATAAGAAACGATGAGCAGGCAGATTTCAGAAAAACCTAGAAAGGCTTACATGAACTGATGCTGAGTGAAGTGAGCAGAACCAGAAAAAAACATTCTATACAGTAACAGCAACATTTTGTGATGAACTACTGTGATAGTTTTAGTTCTTCTTAGCAATTCTTAGCAATGCAATGATTCAAGACAATTCCAAAAGACTCATGATGGAAAATGCTAATCACATCCAGAGAAAGAACTATAGAGTCTGGATGCAGATTGAAGCATATTGTTTTCACTTTTTTGATTTTTTTCCTTCCTTTCTTGTGGTTTTTCCCTTTTGTTCTGATTCTTCTTTCACAACATGACTCATGTGTAAATGTGTTTAACATGATTGCACAAATATCACATATATCAGATTGCTTGCTATCTTGGGGAGGGGGGAGAAGAGAGAGGGAGGGAGATGGGTTTGAAACTCAGTCTTGTTAAGGGTGCATGTTGAAAACTATCTTTGCATGTGGTTGGAAAAAATAAAATAACATTAAAAAAAGAAGTGTGCTCACTCTATCTCCAGGTCCTCAGAATGTGGGAGTAAGGGTGAGTGATCCCCATGAAGAGGATTGCAAGGGCTATGATATACTCAGCAGAGGGCTGTTTACTTAAAGCAAGGAGGTAGAATATTGATTGAAAATTAAAGGATCAAATGAATTTTGTAGGCAACAGAGCCAGGTTTCCAAAGAGCACAGTGCAATGTGCCAAAATATTATCTTTGCCTATGTACTTTGCAAAGAACTATGGAGAGGGACAGGTGAATAGAATAAGGATGGGGTATCAGGAGATGGTATTAGGGACTTTAAGTTTGCGTCTAAGAAAATAAGACTGAATGACCAGGATTGGGGAGCTATATTGATTTAGAATTCTACCTTGGCATAAATTAATTGATAGAGATATGTACAGTTAACCTGACCTAATAGAATGTTAATGTTTTGGTGTGTGCCTCCATAAAGCATGTTGTCTAGATGTGCTATGATTAAAAGAATATAATACTAGTCTTGAGGCTCCAGCCCTTTTGGCTTAGAGTAGAGGAGAAGTAATAGCAGCTTCAGTGAGCCATCTTCTCTTTTTCCCTTGCAGGTAAACTTCAGCTTGTAAATTAAAGGGAGTAGTTCTCAGACCTTGAAACTCTTGGATTCAGACTTTCTGGCTCTGGGTAGGGAAAGCTAAAAGAGCCTGGGCAAAAAAATGGCCTTGTAGCCATGGTCATTTTATGGAATATCGATATAGTGTCCTTTGAATAATATGTATATATGTTTATGCATATACACAATATGTGTACACATATTTGTACATATGCATATAATATACATCTTCTTTCCAGTGCTGGGGCTAGGAGAAAACATACTAATATTCTTTGCCTTAACATTATCCACTAAAGAATAACTTCTATCACAATTTTTCTTGAAATTCTCAGCTATGTGACATTTTTTCTCTCATTCATAACTGTGGCCATTCATATCATTCAGACTGTTTCTCTGAATGATTAGTTATTGAGATCTATCCTTTTGAGAAGTGGATACCAGCTCCTAGAGACTGTTAATTTGAGGATTCACTCCCCCTGCTGGCCTAAAAGAAGTCCCCATTTATTGACCTTCAGAATGTGGTCCAAGGGCAATTGCTTTCTGAGGTGTTTCCCCAAAATACATACAGTAAAAAGATTTTATGTATCCAGTGAAATGCATCAATAATTTACTTCTTGACATGTAGATGTCTGTTTCCATAGCATATTTTAAATGAAATGAGTCTATACACAATTTATTTTCTTCCAATTGGAACTGAAAGCCTTGGCTGAATGCTTACACATAACTTTGTTCTATGAGGGCAACACAAATTTAAGAAAAAAGTGTAATTCAAATATGTATCAACAGAGTCTGTTCTAGTCTTCCAGGTTTTGCTTTATTAAAAATACCACCAGTGTTTTATTTCTGGAGAAAGCAACAGCTTGTGTATGGGAATAAGGCATAAAGTCACAAATCAGTCCAGCATTTTTTCATCTTGTCTTAGGAAAGCACTTTGAATTAGTAAGGTTTAGGACCCGCATGTGAAAGTCATATGTATTTAAGGTAAATGAGCTTGTTAATAACAGTTGTAAGTAGAACTCGGCCATTTCTCCAGTTTTACCCTATTGTCTTTGAGAGCTTGCAACTAAATCTATTTACAAAATAATTACTGGGATCGCCCATATTAAGCGGTAAAACCAAACTAGTCTCCCTGCCTCCCAGCATGCCGCAAACCCAAGTGCAATATGTTGTAATCTTCCCTCACTGCAACAGGGTCAGGACGGGCTGGCGTCAGCGTGCTGGGTGAGACGTGGGAGATGAGAAGTAACTTGTCAATTTTTAATAAACTCTTCCTTCTCGCCAAGTCAACTGCACCATTCTCTCTGCAAACCAATGAGATGATGACATCTTTCTAGTTGGTTTCCATAGCATCCATTCCTGAAGAGCCCCAGGATGGTATTTTGGAAGGATTGTCCTTCCACCTCCCCTAGAAAGTTGGCAAACCTGCGAACTCAAAGAACCTTTTCCTTCACCCTACGTGTCCTGTCCGTGGTCCTGAAATCCAGCGGCGAAGCCAGAATGGAAGGGAGCTGTCCCCAGTGCTGAAAACCTCTAGTGCTCCGTCCAAAATTAGACCTGCTTGTCTCGCTAAATCACGTTTTCGCTTTTCATTGATTCTCGTTCCAAGGAGCATCAAGTTCTCTCTCCATCTCCACTCTAGACTACCGCATATCTGAATTGCTCCCCGTGAAGGGAGCAGAAGCTCATTTGGGAAGATGGTCCCCTAGGGTTGGTACTGCCCACCTGAGAGCTAGAATCATCCATTAGTTCTTACTCAAGCTACTCTGATTGAAGAGGACTAATATTGCTATCATCTTCGCTTTGCACTTAAAGAAGAGCTTTCTGTTTTCTTCTATTTTAAAATCGTGCAGTTTTTGAAAAGAGCTTCAAAACCAGGATTATAAACAATTTTTCAAGTGGACTAACTTCCATCAAGGACCTCTTCGTACCCGCCCAAATATCATGGCACTGAATGCTTCCTCTGCCACCGGATCCTCCCCTTCAAATAAGACTTTCTAATTGTGTCTAGCAACTCTCCTATTAGAAAAGCCGTGGGTTGCATGTTGCTGTATTCCGTTGTATTCCCTTTCTCTCCCTCCCTTTCACTCACATTCTTCTTCCCAGAGGCGCACCAATAGCCATTTCGCGGGGAAGGAAAGAAAGAGAGAGAGGGAGAGGGAGAGGGGGAAAAAACACCTTAGCGATTAAGTCAATATGCGCAACCATCGCCTTTCATAGCTCAAACCTAGTACACACCAGGAGCCACTGCTGCAGGGATGGAGTCGATAAAACAAAGGATTTTGACCCCTGGCAAAGAGGGGCTGAAGAATTTTGCTGGAAAATCTCTCGGCCAAATCTACAGGTAAGAGAAAACGACTCTCGTGTTCACTGAGGCTTCTTCCTGGAGAAACTGTCAGACAGGTTTCAGTTAACTGAAACCGTTTCGAGGGCTTGTAATTTGATCGGCAACGTTTGTTTGGTTAAACATTGGGGCTCACCCAAGGTTGGCAAAAGAATGTGGCATGGAAGCAATCTGTCTGGTGTGTGTGTGTGTGTGTGTGTGTGTGTGTTTTACCATCTGTACGGAATGATTAGTGGCAGATACTTCTTCTCTTTCCACTACAGAATTCATCTCCTTTATAAAGAGGAAAGAATCCACACCCTATCAATGGGCTTTCCCTGTGCTCTAATCGTTTGCTTGGGAAAAGCTCGAGTTAGATACCTTCAATGCAAAAAGCATTAAGCCCATTCGATTAGTAATCCCCCAGGAGATCTTCCTTCTGGATTAAAAAAAAAGCAGTAAATGTATATATCAATAATTGATAGGGGACCAATTTCTGGGTTTGAGACTGAAACAATTATGTATTTTTAAATTATTTATTCATCCTCTCACAGACATCAGTGTCTGGTATGAGGATGCTGAAGGGGTGTGCATTATGAAAAGAATAATCCTTTTGAGTGCACTGGATGGATAGAAACGATTTTCAAACCAACCCTCACTATAGTAACCTGGCCAATGATTCCTATTACAACAGGTGACTCCAGCTGCCTCCTGAGAGATCGTTTTCATCTTCTTTTCTTTATTTAAAAAAAAAGGTTGTCCCTTTTATTGGAGTATTCTTCAACAGAAAGGAGATAACCCCCAAGGAGATAAAGCAGACAACAAGAGAAAGAAAGTGGACTTTGGGGTAGCATTTTCTTTCTAGATTTACAAAGGAATACATTTTTAGGGAATAAATAGGAAGTTTTGAGAAAAGGTAAGGCGGGTAGCTCCAATACTTCCAGCTCTTTTAGGTCCGGGTTGGCTCCACTTCTGGTCAGGACAGTATTTATCTATGCGGCAACATTCCGCATTCTCCACTGCAATCCTACAATATCACTGAGAACTGCTCATTCAATCACCTTCTATCAGTTACTGAGTCCACCCAAGGAGACCTTTTCCTCCAAGAGTGGAGGTTAGATTTGGAAGCTTTCATTTTCTAAGGGAAAGCTTGAATGGGGGGGGGATATATAAAACCTATATTTATTTTGAATCTCATTACTTGAATCTTCATTTCCTCTTCTCTCCCAAAATTATAGCTTTTAAAAAAATTCTTATATTGGGTTAAAAAACTTAGTGTTAAGAATAATTTAAAATATTAAACTATAAATACTACCATGAATTTATTTCCAGGATGGTAAGGAATTTATTATGTTTTCAGGTATTGTGAAGAGCTTGAAAATCATATTCCAAACATTTCATTCTTTGAACCGATTTGATAATAGCATTCATGTAATCACATACATTTAAACAACCATGCATATGTATACTTGAGTATAGATATATATGTCTATATACATATATACACCATATATATATGTATGTATGTATATGAAATGGCTGAAGTGATCAAAATTAAAATTGCTTCTGCTTATTTCAACTCGAAAATACTATGTTTAAGGAAAGGTTTTCTTTAAATATTTGAAACTATTACATCCTAACATTATTGGAAGATACTCCCTTTAAAGAGGGAGGTGGTGTCTTTGTCTAAAAAGAAATCTCATAGATTAAACTCTCTGAAGAAAACGGTTATTACTCAAATGTAGGAAAGCATTTTAGCCCTTTGAGACAAATTCATTGATGGGATTCATTCCTGAAGGTTTGGAATTTTAAAATATTGATGACAATGGCATTTCCAATGTGGTGCAGGGTCTGCATTGAATGCGGAAATGCCTTATGCACGACTGATTTTCTTTTTATGTGTATAGAATTGCATTTGAATGTCTAGAAAGGGCCCTAGCACATTTTTTTTTCGTGTGTAATTGAGAAATGTGAATAATTCATTACAAATATATGGGAGGTAGGTAGTTTTTTTTCATTTTGTCTATATATTTGGGTGGCTTTCTCTTCCTCCCTCCCCCCACCCCCTTCCCGCCATCTTAAGAAAAGAAAAGACACATATAGGATGAGAGCCAGGCTAAAATCAAGGACTTGAATTCACATGGCAGGGCTGATTCAAAGGAGAAAAGCTGGACAGAGCCTGCGGCAGGTGTGACACATAAACCCCTGCATTGTCCTTCCCCCTTATAAATCCAGTTTGAGGAAGATCTCGGCCCAGAACACTTTTGCTACGAGGAGCGTGGGCGTGGCTACGTCACCTCACGCCCAGAAAACCCGCATCCTTTTGGGAAAGGTCGAAGCCCCGCAGGGAAGTCAGAGGGAACTGTTGCTCTTGCAGGCTAGCAGAGATTTGAGCTCCTCGGTGGAAGGCAGGCAGGCAGGCAATTGGTACTGAGAGTAGTAACAGAGAAGGTTCAGGGTTATAGACGCTGCTGGAGAGGGAGAAAGAATACAACTGGAGTGTTTCAAAATAGGCACCACAGAGCTGTTAGCCCCAATTTCTCGCTTTCTCTCCTTAGCTCAAGCAACTCCTGTAGAGAAAACACCAAGGAGATCACTCAGAAATTGGGGGTGGGGTGGGGTTCAGGGGTTAGGGAGGGTTCAGAGCAGGAGACATACTGTGTATTTGACCCAAAGGAGCAGCAGGAGTAACCGGAGGCTGGGTGGGGTGGAACGTCTTTCTTTGGGGAGGAAAGGTATTAAAGTCGAAAACTAATTGAATTCCATTAAGTTCGATTCAACTCCACCAGCACTGTTTAAGCACTCACTGAGTGCAAGGCAAGGATCTTGCTAAACTCTGGAGACACAAAACTAAAAACAAAGCAATTTCTCCTCTTGGAGAGTTTACCTTCCATTGGCATTATAAACTGGAAGAAAGGAAAGGAGTTTGATTAAAAATATTAGCTAGAGGGGCGAATGGATTCCCATGCCAAGTCACCCATACTCCGTCCTTCCCCTCAGCTTCAAAAATCATTCCCAAGGACTTCTTGACTTGGGGTGTGGGGACGGTTTTTAAAACTTTTTTTTAGTATTTAGTATTTTGATAACTATTTCAATATAATTGCTTTCCTTTGTAACCTTAAACATTTTTATTTTATGCTTTTAAAGACATTCTTCTGAGAAGAGGTCAATAGGCTTCACCAAGAGGGTCCACGACAAAAACAAAAAAAACAACAATCAAAAACACGGTTAAGAAGCTCTGATTTCAGATAGAACATATCCTTAATCCTCAGAGAGTTTATAAACGAAAGCACCCCTCCCCAATTCCACCCCGGAGAGGGCGCTAAGTGAACACAAGCAGGAGAGCATCAAACCTCCTCAATCTCAAACCCTGCTCCGGGGCCATTGCAACTAGACGCTGTCCCTAAAGCCTTCTGTTTTCCCTTTCTCCCTTCTCTTTCCCCCTCCCCCATGCCGCTCGCTGTCCTCCCCACTACACTCCAGGGTGCTCGAGAAGAAGCAGAAGACTGGGGAGACTATTGAGCTGACCGAGGATGGGAAGCCCCTGGAGGTGCAGGAGAAAAAGGCGCCACTCTGCGACTGTACCTGCTTCGGTCTGCCACGCCGCTATATCATAGCTATCATGAGTGGCCTGGGCTTCTGCATTTCCTTCGGGATCCGCTGCAACCTGGGGGTGGCCATCGTGGACATGGTGAACAACAGTACCATACACCGAGGGGGGAAGATCATCAAGGAGGTGGGCGACTGTGGGGGCACGGATTCCCTCTTCTCCTCTCTACCTTTTCTTACTTCACCAGGGGCCCCACCCCACCCTCAACTCATGGTTATAAGATCATCAGCTTAGAAGCGTAAGGGATCTTAAAGTCCATCTAGTTCAAACCCACATTTTGTTGATGAGGAAATTGGGGTCCAAAGAGTGAGTTCCCCCAAGATCACACAGATCTTAAGCAACCGAGATGAGATTTGAATCTCTGTCCTGACTCCCAGGCTAGTGGGTTTTTTCCAGCCACTTAAAAAAAGGGCAAAATTGTTCTCATTTTTTATTCTCACACATGAAAATAGATCACATATAATATTATGGGATGGCAATGAGAATCGCGCTGTGATTTTATTGGTAGAAGGAACTCTCGGTGAGGAATTTCCTCTACCAAAACCGATGGGTACCTTCTCTGTGATTTATAATCTTAGAAACTTGCTTGGCACTAAATGACTTAGTCAGGTTCACCCAGCCAGCATGGGTTTTAGAGTTGAGACTTGCACCCATATCTTTCTGAGTCTGAGGCCAGCTATCCAGCCACAAACATCCTACTGCTCAAAATATTACATAATAAAAACTGATAAGAACTCCAATATGTTCTTCTTAGTTCTCATCACTGTAATTTTGGGGGCTTTTTTCCAAGACCATTGGACAGTCCCTCCTATCCCAGCCCTACTGGGAGTCCCTAGCACAGCAATAAGACTCTCCACCTTATAAAGAGAGGACTCCAGTAGGGCTGTAGCTTTGCCACCGCCTCTAGGTCTCTTGGAGGGAATCTGAGGTAAATTAGGATTTAAGCAGAAGAACTAGATGAGCCAGACCACAGATCAATCAGTCCCCAAGCATTTACCGAGCTCCCTCTACGTGCCAGGTATTACGCTACTTTTTCAGGACCCAAAGACAAAAACGATAGAGACTTTGCCCTCAAGAAGTTTACAATGAAAGGGCATACATACATACATACATACATACATATATGCACATAAGTAAATATATACAAAATATATGAGACAAGTAACCTTGGAGACAGCATGTGACTAGAGGAATTTACAATTGATGTTTCCTTTCAGGAAAACACACCAGCTTTCCCAAGTACAGCGTTTTCACCCCCATTTCTCCTCCCAACAACCTTAGGTCCACTACTTTGGGATTGAGAGAGAGTTCCCAGAGCATTTTTTTTTGTTTTGTTTTGGTTTGGTTTGGTTTGGTTTTCCCCAGGGGAATGCAGGCTCCCTTGGCTCTTTGTGTGAAAGTTTGGCTCTCAACTTTGACCTTTATGCAACAGTTTCATTTATATTCATTCTTTCTAACTAGTATCCAGTTTCCTTCGTAATAAAAACTGCTCCCCTTTGGGATCCTCATCTCTCCGTGTATCCCTTGTGCCCTGCCCTCCCCCAACTGATCTGAGTTTCAACTCCTCTTCATCACCTCTGGTACCGCAGCTTTACAGCAGTTCCTGATCTTCCGATCCTCCTTCCTATATCTTATATCAGCCTCACCTCACCCTCAGTTCAATTCACCCTAATTCAGCAAATATTTATTACGGCGCTTTGGAGGTAAAGGTAAAAATCCTGTCGCTATTCTATATGCTAGGTTGCCTTCCCTTCGGACGCTCTCTTTCCCTCTGTACAACGTACAGATTGTAGGGAATCTAGCACTTCCCTGCACCCCCATCCCCGGAAACCTGCGCTTAGGGCTTCTAGCTTGCAGACAGCCAGACCTTTATAGAGGAATAAAAAGATGCAGGAGTTTCAGGCTCCCTGGAGGTAATGGTACACTTTCCAAGAGCTAATCCTAGGTCACACTGAGTTTTCGACCCCTGTATCTGTATTCCCTACCCAAAGGTGTAAAATGAAATTAGCAAAGACTCTGTGTGGTTCAAGTAAGGACACTAACTTTCCCTCTCTTTCTTCTCTGTTCTCCTGCTTCGGCCTTGGTAGAAAGCCAAATTTAACTGGGACCCGGAAACCGTGGGGATGATCCATGGGTCCTTCTTCTGGGGTTACATCATCACTCAGATCCCCGGAGGCTACATCGCGTCCCGCCTGGCCGCCAACAGGTAACTGCCGAGGCCTGGGAGCCAGCCTGGGGTGTCTCGAGAAGGGGGGGGGGCAGGGGTGAGTGCGTGGAAACTGGGGATCCTGGAGAAGCGAGGTACAACTAGAGGGAGCGGGTCAGCAGTGGTAAAGGAGGCCAGTGAACTATCTTCGACGGGGTTTGCCCTAGTATTCTCGCTGCTCGCTACGGGTTCTGGGTCTAGCTCGGGCCCCAGACCTGAGAATCAAGTTGTGGGCTCGATGAGGAAGTCCCGGCCTAGTCAGGGATGGCTGGGGGGAGGGGAGAGGGGTGAGCCCCGGCGGCTTTCACCATTGGGTTAAAAGGGCCTTGTTGCGGGCTATAATTAACAAAGATTTCCCAAAACCCACCTGAGCTAGAAGCACCGGGCAGCTGACTGAGGCCAGGTCGAACCTGGCCCATGCGTGAATGTGGCGGAGTATTATTATTGTTGTTGTTAAAATCCTAGGTAGTCGTCGCCTTCCTCCCCCGCTCCCCCTTTCTCGTTACTGGTAAAAATCAAGAGCTGAGCGTCGGCTCCTTAGCAGCCAGGTTTGGGCTGCGGGGGTGGTTCAGGCCCTTTGGTCAGACGGACAGCCGAGCTCTCCTACGCCTGGCAGGGCCGCAGCGCGCAGCCCGCAAAGCAGATGGTGCTCTGGGTCTTAAGGCTTTGTTTCTATGGTGTCTGGCGAGCTTTCAAGCACCCGGGGTGTGATTCCACCTGTTAATTAGCTCCGCCGAGAACTGCGGGAAGACAGAAGGCATTCAGCTGGGTCCCCAGAGCCGAGTGGGCCAGTCGAGGTCCTAGCGCCTTCTCGTGGTCAGTGCCCCCCTCCCCCTCCCCAAACCGCCTAGTCTCGGGCTGTCCCTGAATCTGGGAACCTAGGGCCTGAGAAAAGCCGCAGGGCCCAGGAACAGCTGGTGGGGCCAAGGACTGCTGGGGATCTTGGGTTTGTTTTAGAGGAGGGAGGGCGTTCGGATTTTAACTGGCCCTATATTCATTCATTAAGACAGCATTGTTGGGAAGGAAGGACCCGTTTTTGGTTCCTCCTGTTTTAAAACATTAACGTTGTTGCTTACTTTGGAATCTGCATTCTAATGCCCCTGTCAAGGTCAGCTTCCTCTTGTCCCCTCAAAAGAATTGCGCTTTAAAGATGAACAAAAGTAACAAGAACGATTACTCATTTGTGTTGCGATTTGAAGCTTACAACGCTTTCCTCATTAATTACTCTTTGCCTCTGTTCAGCATAAGACACAATTCACCTCTTTTCAGTCTCCCGAACCCCTACCTCTTGGTGTTTCTCACTCCCTGTTCGGTTCACCTAAGATTCTAACACAATGATCAAGTCCTCCAGCTTCTGACAGCTCAGTTATCTCCTGGGCCCTGGGCGGGACTCGTGGAAATTTACTTGAGGCTTAGCAGGCAGAGGGCACTGATTTCAGGGGAGCCCTTCAGAGCAGCAGGAGGATGAAATAGATGAATACATTCATAAAGTTGACTTTGAATAATATCTATACCCAGATTTTAACCCCCCCCCCAAACTCAGAAAGATGAAAGAGAAACGGAGGCAGACGAACAACGACTCCTACATGCAGTTCATGTATGAAAGTAGCCTTAGGTAGAAATCATTAAGGAGAAAACTCATTTCAATGTACTTAATTATGAATTACAGAGCTTTTTAGCTTTCAGTCCAGCTTATAGCATCAAGGCTTATTTTTTTCCTGAAAAGAAAAGCCTTAATTTTTTTTTCCATTTCTTAAAAATAAAGTACTTAAAATCTGCATTTAAGTGCATTTTCCATTCTTGGTACTACTTCGAGGTGCATGAGCAACGTGTATAGACAACTAAGGAGGAGATCTGATGTCAAAATACAATAACTGGACCTTTTAAGACTCCATCCAAAGTCAGAACCTTAAGCTTGCCAAATATTAAAAGGCTAAGGTTTTCCTGACAGGCAGAAACACCTGGGATTTGCCAAGTTCCCTCTCTTTTAAAGATGGCGGGCCAAATGGAGAGAAATCTCATGTAAAATGCAACCTTGTAGCTTTTATTACATATCACAACCAAAATGATAGCAATTGACTTTAGAGTGCTTCAGGGTTTGGAAAGCACTTAATATATTATCTCATTTAATCATCAAAACTACCCCATGAAGGAAGATGCTGAAATTATCCCCAATTTTACAGATGAAGAACCTATGGTCCTTCATCAATAAGGGCCTTCATCAATAAGGAACTTGCCCAAGGTCATCCACAGGTAAAAAGTGTCTGAGGTGTGACTAGATCCAAGTCTTCCTAAGTTTCCAAGTCCAGCACTCCATTCGCTGTGCCACATGGCTTCTAGTAATGCAGTATGCTTAACATTGATCCAGTCTCTAAAATCTTGGGCATAATTTCCTTAAAAAAGGGAGGGTGACTTAAAGTTTTAATTTACATCAATATTTATCTGATACTTTTTAACCTCACATGAACTACCTCTGGTTGTTCAGAAAGCTTGATAATACGTAAGTAATTATTTAAAAGCACACATTATAAGAGAAATCCCTTACATAAAAAATAGAGGGAAAGAATTACATTCCTTATCTGGAAAGCTATTCTGAAGTTGTGAGATTCAATTCAACTAGTTTTCTATCAACACACATTGTATACTCATTCAAAATTGCTTCTTCCTGGAAACTATCTAAAAATAGTGTAAGATTTCCCTTGACTAGGATACCAGGGACATGTTCCCTCCCCTAAGTACAAAATAGTCTCCCTTTGGAGGGTATTTGCCATTGTATCTTCATGCATGTAATCCTGAAGTGGAGGAACTGAGGTGTTTGGAGAGACAGCATCGAGGGAAAGGTGCTCAGTGACTTTGCCTTCTCATAGAAACGTTCTAAATGGGAAACAAACAAACAAGCAAATAACAGATCTTTCTTTCTATTGGCTGGGTCCAAAACAGTCCCATACCTGGTTACCATTAGGGTGGCTGGTTCATTGGCTAGGTAGGGCAGAATCTACACCTGGTTTCTTATTTATGAGGAGGAAAGACTGGGAGAGCTGGGGAAAGAGTGAGCTCAGTCCCCAGAGAAGAGGAATTCTTGCATCATTTTATTCTGTTATTCTTAAAGTGATATTACATACTTCCAGCTGCAGAATTGGTCATCATGATGGGGAGGCATTTTATTCTGTAGGGGAAAAATAGTCATTTTGATAAAGGATTTTGGAGGATTATTATTTTAAAAAAAGCGGGAGAGAGGGAAACCTGGCATATTTGGTATTGCTAAAAAAGAAAAATGTATTTTGATACATTTATACAGTCGAGGCTAATCTGAATTGTTTGTTTGTTTTTTGTTTATTTATTTATTTTTTTTGGTGAGGCAGTGGGGATTAAGTGACTTGCCCAAAGTCACACAGCTAGCACGTGTCAAGTGTTTGGTCTGAGGCCGGATTTGAACTCAGGTCTTTCTGACTTCAGGGCCGGTGCTCTATCCACTGTGCCACCTAGCTGCCTGGAATTGTTTGTTTTTTAACCAATGAAGAGATGCAACATTTTTTTTCCCCCATTGAAGCATTTTAAAGTACAAAATTTCCTAAGCAGACATTTTGAAGAATTGTAAGGACCTCTGTATATCAGAACTGTAGTCATATTAGATCTAGAGGGGAATTTAGATGTTAGCCTCCCCCACATTTTACAGTATTGATTCAATGCAGCAAATATTTATTAATCACCTACAATGTGGCAGACACCAGCACTGGAAATGCAAAGACAAGAACACAACAGTCCCTGGCTTCTAGGGGCTTACATTCATTTTCCTTTTCTGTCATGTTGGCCAATCTGATACGTGTGAGGTGATACCTCGGAGATGTTTTTGCATTTCTCTAATCAATTGTGGTTTAGAGCATTTTTTCATGAGACTATGGATAGAGAAGTCATCTAGTTCAATCCCCTCCTTTTACAAATGAGGATAATCCTAGAAAGAAGTGATTTGTTTAAAGTCACACAGCACTGAAATTGATATTAGAATTTGGGTCTTCTGACTCATATTCTAGTGCCTTCCTCACTGCAAATGCTGTCTTGCTAAATTTATAGCAGCCACTGCATGGACCCAAGTACAAGCAAAGGAACTTGTTCTAGTGAGGTAATCAGATTTTGCAGTTTTCAAAAGGGTAAGCAAGAAATACAGGAAAAGTGTATGTCCAGAAGGGAGCTCTGTAAAGCAACTGATCCAAATATAATTTTAGTGTATTCTCTTATGCAGCTTTTACCAGCTTTGCAAAGACAGACTTATAGTTCATTAAATACAACAGACCAGGACAAAGTACAATGTAAAACTAAAACTAAAACTAAAAATAAAAAACAAACAAATCCAAATACTTGTGGGTCTGTAAGATGAAATCTAATATGTAAAATGGGAATGACAAGAGCACTTATCTTTGTGGGCCGTAATGAGGATAATGAAATAATATTTTTAAAGCACTTTGCAAAGCTTAAAGTGTGCTGTATAAATGTTAGCTATTATTATTCATTCTGCCAGCTCTGTTTTTGTTTTTAATTTGATTTCAACATTTACGAATGTAAATGGGAAATTTCCATTGTGAAAAAAAATGCCTTTTCAAGTGTCAGATTTCTACCTTATTAAATTATCTTTTCAGCCACATTATTCCCTGTTGAAGTTAATGTCCATTGAAAATGCTGTATATCTCATTTGAAGGCTTTTAAAGAGCAGCCTTGAAATGGCTTCATTTAAGCAACACTCACTCAAGCAACTAAAGTTCATGGATGGTTAACAGTCCTGTGTTATTCTTTTAAAATACATGTATGTCATCTTTAAACTCTAGGCATGCAGACAGAAAATATTAACCCAACTGAGAGAATTCATTCAAGATTAGAGTTGAATTTCCTTGTTAAAGTCTAAAATCATTTTGCTTTTGCTGTTACTTAAGATTTGATCTCACAGAGGAAGCAGTATGGTATAGTGGACAGAGAAATGTCCTTGGAAGCAAGGAGATCTGGGCTCA